TAATTGCAAATGGAAATACCGCTCGTCTTATTTTGTTTTCTTTCTACTTTATTTACTTATTTTTTGGGTGCTTGGGGTATGGGGGGGGAATATATATATTTTGCGAGGGTGTTTTTGTTTTAAGTTTAACTTCTTTGAAATCCGGCATGAAAGCCTTATCTCTGCGATGTAAACACGAGCGATGGAAGATGAATGCAAGTTGGAGAAAATAATTGTTAATTCTTCATTTATATAAGGTATTTGTAGATTTTAAACGCCACACACAGCGAATGACCTTCTGTTGTTCATCCAAGAACAGACCGAATCTAGGCTATTGGAGGCAGGCTAAGAGAGTTTACCTGTAACATTAAGGGTAGCCAAATGTACCGTGAGAATGTCGGCCTATCAGGTAGGTTACGGTCATGGAAAAATGCATTCATTTTACCCTATTCAAAATATTACCTGTATATAATGCAAATCCCTTTTTTGCGTAAAAATTATTCATAGAAATTTGCATTTTACTCGAGCTTTTTATTTTTTCATCTGGTGATTTGGGGGTCAAATTTTATCGCCATTGTATATCATTAATTTGATACAACTTCTGGTCCAATCTTTGCTGAATAGTTTATGCTTTATTTCCACATAATATGCAAACATTAACTATTCAATCTTTATTTTACAGCTGTATTTCACAGCTTGTAATTACAGCCACTTAACGCTACCAGTGGAAAAAAACGACTGAATGCAAGGGCAACGGCAAAAGAAATTAATGATGTGGAAGTCCCAAGAAAGGTGAAAACAGCCTCAAAGACAAACCAAGATCAGCGAGACCTTCTGTTATGGAAGCGTTGCTTGAACAAAATTCAAGCTCAAACCTATTTTGGCAGAACTTGGCCCTTCCGAAATTACTATCAGTTGCCTCCTCCATAAACTTTTCATTTTGAAAGAGTCTATCAAGAAGTTACTCATGAACTAACTTTTGACCAGGTGCAATGAGGTATGAATATTTGCAAGCAGTTGCTGGCAAATCTACAAGAGCGTCTAATTTTAACTTCGAAGAAAAAAAATGAATCTATTTTCGTGTTCCTAAGAGGAATCAATGGCTTCTTTTCGTCCAGGCTTCAAAGACTGTTGTCAAACATGGGTGGTTTGAACAGAAAATGTGCGTTTGGTGAGATTTCGAGGGCGTGTTGCACTTCGAGCTTGCCCCAGATGCCCATTGCTGTGAAAGCTTTTATGATCAACACCGGCAACGAGTAAATGATGCTTTGAAAGCCAGCATTTGTCAATTGAAGACAACCAGAAAAATCCTCCAGCAGACATTGCAAATGTGATCAAGCACACACTTGAGGAACTTGAGAGGCTGGAAATGCTGCCTCAACTTTCCTAAATGTATCATTTTTTAGCGCTGATGGAGGTTCAACAACGTGGATGTGTTTGAAAACGTGCGTAGGGAGCTTTTTTCCCTCCAAACAAGCCAAATATTATAAGCGTGGGATTGAGCTTCTGATACAAATCTAGCAACAGACCACACAATAGGATGAGAGATGATGAATAAATATTTTCATAAGCAATTTGTTTGAACTATTAACTAAATTTAAAATACGAAAAAACATTTGACTCAACCTGCAATTAATTTGAACTATAAATAACTTTCATATGCAATTTATTTGAACTATAAATAACTTTTATATGCAATTTGTTTGAACTATAAATAACTTTCATATGCAATTTATTTGAACTATAAATAACCTTTATATGCAATTTGTTTGAACTATAAATAACTTTCATATGCAATTTAGTTGAACTATAAATAACTTTCATATGCAATTTGTTTGAACTATAAATAACTTTCATATGCAATTTGTTTGAACTATAAATAAATTTCATATGCAATTTATTTGAACTATTAATAATTTTCATATGCAATTTATTTGAACTATAAATAACTTTCATTTGCAATTTGTTTGAACTATAAATAACTTTCATATGCAATTTATTTGAACTATTAACTGAAGCTTGAAATATGAAAGCACATTTAACTCAACCTAGAAAGTACCATGTGTCTTCAGGGAGTGGGCGATCAAAGCTCTCCACAACTTCCAATCCTAAGCAATTGTCATCACTTTGCATTCCATCGAGTATATGTCAGTGAGTATATGAGGCTTTGAAAGCCTGTAAACTGGCCTTGATAAATCTAAGGTGTGCACTCTTGCAACATGACAATGCCTCAGCACACACTGCCAATGTAGCCAAATGCAAACATGAGGGACTAGAAGTGCTGTCTCAATCTGCCTACATTCCAGGCCTTGCACCATCAGATCATCACGTTTTCTTAGACAGAAGTTCAACAATGTGGTGAGGTTGAAACGTGTGTTGGGAGGCTTTTGACCCTAAACCTGCCAAATGTTGGAAGTGCGGAATTGAGTTTCTTATCCAAAGCTAGCTTGAAATACGAAAACACTTTTAACTCAACCTAGAAAGTGTCATCTGCCTTCAAGAGTGGGCGATCATAGTTCTCCACAACTTCCAATCCTATATGGCCGTAAAGCAATTTTCATCCCTTTGCATTCCATCGAAACTATGATCTATCATATATTTACACAATTTCGTTAAGTAAATTATTCGCCCTTACCTTCCGTCATTCTTGCTTTAATATCGTTTAAAGTTAAGCAACGTCGAGCCTGGTCAGTAGCTAGATGGGTATTGCTTCTGGCTTTAAATAACCTGTAAATGTTTGATAAGCCGTACAAAACGAATCAAACAACGAATCTTGCTTTAATATGTCTTCTAAAGGTCAGATTTACCAAGCTCTCTTTCTTTATTAGCTATCCCAGAAAATTCAACTGATTCTCTCTGATAAGAGTCCTTTTCTTTTCCATTTTCTTTAAAACTTCCTAGTTGGTTAAATGTTCATGCCATAGTATTCGCAGCATCCTTTTGCTGAATTGCATCTGTTGCTTACAGCTGTGAAGATATCGGCCAATATTCACTGGCATATACGAAGATTGATATAATATAGCAGTTAAGCACGCTTATTTTTTTTTTATTTTTGCCTTGTTCGTTACGAAATATTCCGTTTTTACTTATTTTACTTGTGGAAATCTTTCGTTATTTAATGGGCATTCAGTTATCTGTCTCACATTTTTCATCCTCTGTTAAAATAATTGACGGACAGTTAAATCTCTTTATTCGCTTGATTTTGAAGTCCCTTAAATTGTATCTCACATCACGGGCTGTTATTCTTGCTAACGACCATGTCTTCTTACAAGTTATGGTTAGTTCTTTCTTCTCGTTTTCTTTTACTATCTTGTCTCGGAGTTCCTGTATTTCGTCTAAGCTTGAATAATTGGCTAAAAATATATTTTCGTATAATCACTGACAATGCCAAATATGAACGAGTTAAGTTGCAGAAAAGTGAGGTCGATTACCAACCCGTATCCAGTGTCTAGTAAAATGTCCCGCAGATAATACGTCTCTCTCTTAAAATACTTCTTTTTATTTTCATGTAAACGACTATGGTTGACCACAGTTTTTCAAAACATCTCATTGACATGATTTTTGGTTTGGTTTGGTTTGGTTTGTTTTACGGCATATCAACCACAATGGGTTATTTAATGCCGACAATTATTATTGCTGGTAATATTTTTTCTTCAAAAATGTGTCGCTGGTAATATTTTTTTCTGAAATGTCTAGGTGATATTTCTGTAATGTTTTTTTTTCTAAAGTGTTTGGTTTGTTTTGTTTTACGGCATATCAACCTCAATGGGTTATATAATTGCCAATAAGATTGTTACTGCTGGTAAAATTTTTGAAAAATGTATTGCTGGTATTATTTTTGGTTTGTTTGTGTTACTGGATATCAGCCTCAATGGGTTATTTACTTGATGCCAACAAGATTTTTTATTTCCAGTAATATATTTTTTTTTTTTCAAAAATTGCTGGTAAAAATGTATTGCTGGTAATAATTGTTATTCAAAAATTTATTGCTGGTAATATATTTTTACAAAAATGTATTGATGGTATAAAAACCTATTTTTAAAATTTAATAGTGTTTTGCCCCCAGTTTGGTGGGACCTTAACAGTTGCTACCACCACGGGTCAGGAAGGACCTAAGAGCACCAGCAATTAGGAGGTGGTTCCATGCTCCTCAAAACATTCTGATCAAAGGTCTTCTTTTTCTTCTTGCTGTTGTTGTTGCTGCTGCTGCTTCTCAATCCTTGGAGTACGGCATATATTCATTTAAGCCTGGCTTAGGTGTGACACAAGGCCGAAAGATAGTGAATTCCTTTTCCCATTAGCTTCTCTGAGTTTTAGAATATATATCTGCGCTTCTCTTGGTTGCCACTCAAGGCAAAAGCGTCCAATCTGCTATTCTATTTAACTCGTACGAATGTTGTAGCCATTTATAGCTTTGTTGGGTGCTCTATATTCAAGGGCGTGTATCACACTAAGCATTAGTTAAGAACTGGGTGATCTTCATGACTTTAAGAAATTTTTTAAAAAGTTCCGAAGAAATAAAATTTAAGGCAAGTAAGAACCGTTTTATTCTGGAGTACACTTTTATGTTATGCAGTCTGGCGTTGCTATCGTGTTAATGTTGAAATCCTTTCAGACTTGATGAGCCACCGAAAAATTCTGTGCTTTGATATTCGTCTCATGACATCCGCCACTCGACGCATGCGCGGTTTTTGCACACGCCGACTCGGACATGATTACACGAGTGTGATGTCACTGTAAGTTTGAATAAAATAAAAGCACGAAAGCTGATGGCTGCTGTCAGTGGACAAGGCTCTCCCATCAAATGATTGGCACATGTGAGGATGAAAAATCAGAAACAGGACATGGTGTGAACCTCAAACCGATGTTCGCCGTCATAAATGTTTATTTTCTAGAATAAAGTCGAGGTTTGAGTGACGAGCTGATCTCGTCTTTGGAGGTTGGTCAGGACTTCAAGATGATGACAGTTATCCTGTAAGCTTTTCATTGGATATTTTCTTTTTCATTTAACTTTATTTGAAATGATTTTCTTTTCTTTGTCCATGTCTTATCTATTTCTTGTAGCTTACTTTTTTTTTATTATTATTTGTGTTCATCAAAACATTTCTTTATACAATCATTCTTTCTATCAGGCAACATTTTTTCCCTTTGCTGTTTTAATCACAAAATTTCGGCCACTGTACCCCACGACATATACCTTGTGTAAATATCTCAGACAAGATAATGTATATATTAAACATTGAATCGTTTGAACCAGTTTCTCAGTTTTGTTGTACTGACCGCAGTGTTTCAGTTACTATACCTAACAGATTTCTTTTCACATAAACTTTTGAGATGACCTTTTATACATTCATTCTGTTGGATTGGTTTCTTCATCTCTGTTAGTTTTATCAGGCTCTTTTGTAAGAATTATTCCACACATCGTGTCGGATTCTCAAACAATATAACCAATTTACGTCTATTTTTCACACTCTTCATTTTACTTCGACAAAATAATGTCCTTCGTTTCTTTTTAAATTTGCCTTTCGTTATCCGTTCTTTTTTATTTTGTTATTATTTCTTTCATTCTTTCTTTCTTTCTTTCTTTTTCAGTTTCCTCTTTTTTCTTTCTTTCTTTCTTTCTTTTTCAGTTTTCTCTTTTTTCTTTCTTTCTTTCTTTCAATTTCCTCAATCTTTCTTTCATTCTTTCTTTTTCAGTTTCCTCTTTTTTCTTTTTTCTTTCTTTCTTTCAGTTTCCTCTTTCTTTCTTTCTTTCTTTCTTTCTTTCTTTCTTTCTTCTTTCAGCTTCCACTTTCTTTCTTTCAGTTTCCTCTTTTTTCTTACTTTTAGTTTCCTCTTTCTTTCTCTCTTTCATTATGTTTCCTCTTTCTTTCTTTCTTTCTTTCTTTCAGATTCCTTTTTCTTTCGTTCTTTCTTTCAATTTCCTCTTTCTTTCTCTCTTTCATTCGGTTTTCTCTCTCTTTCTTTCTTTCCTTCAGTTTCCTCTTTCTTTCAAATTCCTTTTTTCTTTCGTTCTTTCTTTCTTTCTTTTAGTTTCCTTTTTCTTTCTTTCTTTCTTTCAAATTCCCCTTTCTTTCTCTCTTTCCTTCAGTTTCTTCTTTCGTTCTCTCTTTCTTTCTTTATTTCTTTCAGTTTCCTGTTTCCTTCTTTCTTTCTTTCAATTTCCTCTTTCTTTCTTTCTTTTTACTCTTTTCATTTACATTTTATCCAGTTTCCCATCCTTAATTTTCTTTCCTTCTCTTTGTTTTTCTTTCTTTCTTTCTTTCTTTCTTTCTTTCTTTTCATTCTTTTTATTTATATTTTCTCCAGTTTTCCATCCTTAATTTTCTTTCATTCAGTTTCCTCTTTCTTTTAGTTTCCTCTTTCTTCATTTATTCATTCATTCTTTCTTTCTTTCTTTCTTATAAGACATTTTCATTGCTTACTCTTGCATTTAGTTTCCAACTTAGTTAGTCCATTATCATTCCCTTGTTTTTTCACCAATGTGTTTTGCAACCTTCCTCAATGATTTATTTTATTCACTTAATAATCCGTTCCCCTTTTCTAGATTAATACATATTAGAGCGACAAATTTCGTGCAGGCAGATACAGAAGTGAAACAGCCACACGTCAGGTATTTGATGGCATTTGGTTTGACTCCAATAAAATTGTTTAAAAAATACCTTCGGGTTTTAGATGCAAGAATTAGCAGACAGACTTCTTTTGTAAATGTCGGCATTATTTTTATACTGTAAGGCAAAATTTTTTAAGTATTATTTGTTCAAAAATAGTGATATATTTCTCTCTCTCCATCTCTCTCTTTCTATCCTACACACTCTCTGTCTCTTTTTATCTCACACTCTCTCTCCTCTATATCTCTCTTTCCATACCACATTCTCTTTCTCTCTCTTTCTTTCTATACCACTCTCTTTCCCTCTCTCTTTTTACCATACCCTCTCTCTCTATCCCTCTCTCTTTCTTTCTATCCCACCCTCTCTTTCTATCCCTCCCGTCTATCTCTTTCTGTCCCACAAATTCTCGCTCTCTCCTTTTTTCTATCTGACCCTTTGTCTTCCTCTTTCTCTCTCCCACTTTCTCTCCTCTCTCTTTCTATACCACCCTCTGTTTCTCTCCCCGCTCTCTCTCTTTGTATACCAGCCTCTCTCTCTTCATCTCTCTTTCTATCCCACCATCTCTCTCTTTCTATGCCAACCTACTCTCTCTCTCTTTCTTTCTATCTCTCTATCTCTCATTGTCCCTGACTTTTCCTTTAGGCTGGTGGTGTAGCAATTATCGCCGCTGAAAAGTGCTGGGTTTACATTCTGACCGAGTCTGTTTTGTTCATTCACGCTCTGTGAAAACTCTTTGGATAGAATAGCAAGCTGTGTTGCCTTGCGTGTCGACCAGTCTAAAAGAAAATATATGAATTCAAACCCCTTTTAAGTAATTAGGCAAACTAACTTCTTTAAACTTTGTAAAGCAAAGAGTTTAGAACAAGGAATCTGAATTCAAAATCTGAGTGTATATTTTTTTTAGTTTTTTAGGATAAATTCATTTTTCCTTCTTTACACTTTTTTCTTTCTTTCATTTGTTTTTTTTTTTTAATCTTCTTTCGTTATTTCTTTATTCTTTCTATCGTTTTATTGTCTTCTTAAATATTATCCTTCAACTTTCTTTTTCTTTCGTTCTTTTTCTTCTTTCTTTCTTTTTCTTCTTTCGTTATTTCTTTTGCTTTTGTTTCTTTCAGTTTTTTTTATTTTATTCTTTTTCTTTTCTATTTATTTGTTTTATTTTTTTTCTTTCCGCCATACATTTTCTTCTTGACTTTTTCTACAATCTCTTGCATTTTTCTTTCTTATTGTTTTCTTACATTTTGTTTCCATCCTTCATTCCTCGGCCACAATTTCTTTCCATTATCCGCTTCTGTACTTTTTATTTTGTTTTCACTTCTTTCTTTTTTTTTATTTCCTTCTATTCGGTATTTCTTCGGATTTATCTGTTATTCCTTTTGAAAAAGATATTTTCCTTATTCTGTTTTTATTTAATCTTTTTTATTTTTCCTTTTCTATTCCTTTTTATTTATTATTTTATTTCGTTTCTTTTAAATAGCTATGCTTTTTCAATTTTTTTTTCATATTACTTTCATACATTGTGCTTTTTCACATTGTTTATCCATTTTGTTTTACCTGACGTTTAGTTATTTTCGAAAAAATACTTCTTCCCAAATGATTTCTTCTTTCTTTCATATTTTGACTGTGTTTATTCTTTCATTTTTACTTTGTTATTTTTACTTTCTCTCTTTCCTTCTTTCTTTTTTCTTTCAGTTTCCCTTTTCTTTCTTTCTTTCATTCTTACAGTTTCCTCTTTCTTTCATCTTTCAGCTTCATCTATCTATCTATCTATCTATCTATCTATCTATCTATCTTTCGTTCTTTCATTTTCCTCTTCTTTTTTTATTTCTTTCATTCTTTCGTTCTTTCTTTCAATTTCCCCTTTTTTGTCATCCTTTGAATTTCCTCTTCCTTTCTTTCTTCTTTCAGCTTCCTCGTTCTTTCTTTCTTTCTTTCTTACTGTCTTTCTTTCTTCTTTTCAATTTCCTCTTTTTTCTTTCTTTGTTTCTATTTGCAGTTCCCCATTTCTTTCTTTCTTTCTTTCTTTCTTCTTTTCCCCTTTCTTTCTTTCAGTTTTTTCTTTCTTTTTTATTTTCTTTCTTTCTTCCTTTCATTTTCGTCTTTTTCTTTCTTTCTTTCTGTGTTTCCTTCTTTCTTTCTTCATTTCTTTCAATTTCCCCCTTTTTCTTTCATTCTTTCATTTTCTTCTATCTTTCTTCATTCTTTCTTCTTTCTTTCTTTCTTTATTCCTTTCATTGTCCTTTTCTTTCTTTCTTTCTTACTTTCTTTCAGTTTCCTCTTTCTTTCTTCTTTCAGTTTCCTTTTTCTTTCTTTCTTCATTTCAATTTCCTCTCTTTTCTTTCTTTCTTTCTTTCTTCCTTTATTTCAGGTTCCTCGATTTGCTTTATTTCTTGTATTTATTTATTTTACGATTTTTTTTTTTTGTATTTTTATTCCTTTCTATTTTGTTTTGTACACCCTTTAAAAATCAACATATTTTCCCCACTTCTCTAACATATCGAAAACTAGACACGATGTCCTTAATGCTCATCTTTTTTTTCGTATAAACGTTTAGATAACATTGACTTACGCTGCGCGGACCAAGGAACCGAGTAAAACCGAACGCGGGTCAAAGGTTATTACAAAAAGAAGGAAAATGTTGACAGTTGTCGTAACAAGCCACGTCACCAGGAACGTCTAATCTTTCTACAGAAAAAAAAAAAAAAACATTGCACTAGACAACTTGAAATTACGGAGTTCGTCTATACGGTCAGATCTGTCACGCGACATATATACAAACGGTAAGAGAAACACACATTTTTCTAACATGGATTAGTGTAACTGTTACAATAAATGTTGTATAAAATCAGATTGATATATATTTTAAACATTTTGGTTGGAGAACTCGCACACGCCAATCTTTCATTTTGTGGGAAGCTTCTCCGACTTATAAGTCATCAAAGTCATTTTCGCCAAGGCTCTAACACCGAAATCCAAAGCAAATTGGAAATTCACACGCTCACTAAAAAATACACGATGTATATATATATTTATATATATATATATATATATATATATATATATAGTTGGATTGATCAATCCAACTGAATATGCTAGTTCTATCACTGATATTGTTTTCAATAAGTAACGCGCATATATAATATATAAATAATATATACATAAAAAATTGCATATATATATATATATATTTATATACACATATATTTCACATGCACCCCCACACACAAATATATATATATATATGTGTGTGTGTGTGTGTGTGTGTGTGTGTGTGTGTGTGTGTATGGTTTGGTGCGAGTTTGTGACCCTGGGTTACACGCTATTTGCGATCGTCACATAGCGTGACTCACATCAGTCCAACTAAATATCTATCACTGATATTCTAACGGTCATTTTGGCGGGGAATAACGGTTCTGTTTCGAATTTTTCTAGGGGCTAATAAATGGAAATAATTGTTGATCTGAATGCTCTTTTTTTGCTGTTTATAATGTTAATTAACATTTTTATTTATTTTGTTTATTATTACTACGTTTTCTTGCTCTCATTTTTGCGTAGGCGGTTTGTTAATTTGTTCATTATTTACTTAGTTTATTTATTTGTTTGGATTAATCTATTTTATTTGTTTTTGTTTATTTATTTTAATTTATTTATTTTCATTTATTCTTGTTTGTTTCCAGTTTTCGATTTTTTAATTAGCGGAGTAAAAATTTGTTTTCGTGTCTACATTTTGAGATTAGTTCTAATCGTTTATTTTGTAGTTTATTTTGGTCTAGGAAGGTAATTATAGCTATTCCTTCCTCCAAGCATAGTTTAAAGTTTTTGAATTGATTATATAAGGCTGATGTTGTCTTTCTTATTCTCCATGATATTTTTGGTGTAATTTGTCTTTTTTTTAAAACTCCCAAACATTTTGAAAACTGTTTATAAAGGCTTGTGCTGTTTGTGTATTTACTATTTGTGAAGGATATATTGTTTGCGTCGTTTCTTTGTTTCCAGGGCCCTTTAGTTACTCATATGTATATTTTTTTTTGTTATCAACTGATTTTACAGTGGCTTGGTATATTACATTATTCTGTAAGCAATTGCCGTTTGAGGGACATCCGTTTGTTGTTCTGCATTTACAGGTGAGTTATATTTGTTTAGGTGGGTTGTTGGTTGTTTTACTGTTGAGCTTTTTTATTATATGTATCATGTTCTCGGTGCAACTGGAACTGATTTTTACTGTTTTTGTTGAATATCTTGTGGAGAGTCCTTGAGGCGGGAAAGGGTGTGTGAATGAGTTTAAAGACTGTTTATCTTACAATTCTTTCTAAGTTTTTTTTTTTTTATTCGGTGGGTTGAACCATATGATGTTTATCTTCCTATTTTATTTTTGTTTTGTTTTTTGCTGTGTAGTGTGTATGTGAGTGTTGCTGTTTGTTTCATATCAGATTAATTTAACTTTAAATTTTCTAATTTTACTCAAATAACGTGTCAAAAATATATAAATTTATTTTAGGAAGAAGTTTAAAATCAAAATTTTGTTTGTTTACAAATTTCTTAAAATTTAAGAAAATTGCCGCTTTTAAGAAAATTAAACAAAAATCGAGCATATATTTGACATTCCAATCTATATAATTCCTATCTGAAAGAGTGATTTATGTTTTGGAAGGAAAGGTAATGAATCGCGAGCCTTGATCTCAAAGGAAAAATTTAAAGGTGCCATGAACAAGGCGACGAACAGAAGGAAACGTACGAGGTCATGGCTGGGTGGCACCAGGTGAGGGAAAGGTTCTTGGAAAGAAGTGGAACACAACTTCATAGGTTAGACACACACACACACACACACACACACACACACATATATATATATACAATCACACTCTAAGAGATATATATGAACGGGTGAGAGAGAAAGTGAAATAATAATAATAATAATAAACACAAATAAGTTGAAATAAATGAAACATTCGGATCGATATACATAAACATGTAAATCAGAGATAGATAGATTGCTTTTTAAGGAAAGGTTCGATACTCATGCACCAGATCTTTTGCGAAAGCTTTTTTTAAAATATAGATAGATTCGCTTATCGTCCAGTTCTCATTCCTCCCCGTTATTTTGTATAGGACTAGAAATCTCTCTTTTTTAGGATTGGATTTCCAGTAAGATTTCACTTCTAGCAGCCCCTTTTGTTTGAATAGCATTATCGCCTTGCTTGGGGTTAATTAATTAATATATATATATATATATATATATATATATATAGCCTAGGGGTAGGATCTCTGACTGACGTGAAATCGGAGTTTCGATCCCAGCTAGAAGCAATCGGATGTCTAGCCACATTGACAGCGTGGTGGTCTGTCTGTGAATAACAATATATATATATTTATTAAAGACATATTTTTATGTTTAACGTTGTTATTTTATAGATACAAGTATTTAAGCAAATGCTCTGTTTATGATAAACAGTATTAAATAACATTTACCGGCCTGAATGTCCGAGAAATTTTCATAGAAAAGTTTCGTTCTTTGACAGGATTCGAACCTGCATCCTATACGGAACCGTCATATACGCTGACGTGCCTTACCGCTTGAGCTACAAAGAACCAATCGGTAGACAAGGTCGAATTTACTGCTTATAAACTCCAATTTTCCATGAATCTCGTACATTCATAACTGCTCTGGCGTATCGAATGTAAACAAATGACGTCATATATTAAGAAATGGACAAGGTCCGACAATTTATTTATTAAAGACATATTTTTATGTTTAACGTTGTTATTTTATAAAAAATATGTCTTTAATAAATAAATTAAATAATAATAATTTAATAAAAAAATATCTATGTTTAATCAATTCATTTCTTCATTGAAATTACGTTCGACAAGACGCTACAATATATCCTGTCATTTGACAATACATGTATA